GGCGAGGGCAGGCGGAGACTGGCAGGGGCACGCAGGGCAGATGGAGGCTGGCAGGAGCACGCAGGGCAGGCGAGGGCAGGCGGAGACTGGCAGGGGCACGCAGGGCAGATGGAGGCTGGCAGGAGCACGCAGGGCAGGCGGGGGCAGGCGGAGACTGGCAGGGGCACGCAGGACAGGTGGGGGCCGGCAGGGCAGGCGGGACCCTCACCTCGCAGCCAATCCTGGAAGTAGTGCAGCCACATCTTGGGCGGCTGGCGGGTGTGGTCGCGCACCACGTGCTGCAGGGCACCCAGGGCCCGGTGCAGGGCGTACAGCGCCTCCTGCGAGCTGGGGTAGTGGAAGCCGCCCTTGGTGGCGATGAAGACGTGGTAGAAGGAGAAGTACTTGGACTGGGTGGCGATGAAGGCGTGCTCCTTGGTGCCCCGCGGCACGATGTCCGTCAGGTACAGCCCGTCGTGCACCAGCGTGCTGCCATACAGGCTGAGGCCTAGCAACGCCAGGAACAGCAGCACCACGATGCCCTGGGGACGGGAAGCCCGTCAGGCTGGGCCGGGCGCCCCCTTGGGCAGGGCACAGCCCCCCGCCCCCTGCCCTGCAGCACAGGCCCACAGCTCCCCCCGGAGTGCCAGGGAGCCCCCCAGCATTCCCCTGCACAGCCTGGGAGTTACCCCAGTCCCCAGTCTCCCCAGCACTGCCAGGGTCCACCCCCGGCCCCCCACCTTGCACCCCTCCCCAGGGGGATGAGGGGCCCACGGGAGCCGGGGGCGGCAGGCCCAGTCCCCCTACCTTGGTCTGGGTTTGCAGCAGGAGGGGGGCGTACTTCTCCCTGGCGAAGTCGGCCAGATTCCAGCGGCACAGGGGCAGCGGCACGCACTCCCGGCCCCCCTTGGTCCCGTCCAGCTGGGCCAGCAGGTCGCGGGTGGAGCTGGCCGGGGCAAAGAGCTGGGAGCCCAGCGGGTCGGCAGGGGCCAGCGGCGCGGTGCAGACCTGGGCGGTGGGCGGCAGGATGGTGACAACGTGCCGGCCCGAGGGGTCACAGCGGGTGAAGGCCTGCACCGTGGTGGTGATCTGGGTGCTGGTGGCCACAGCCGGGTGCCCGTAGGGCGAGGGGTGGGAGGCGTGGTTCTCGTTGGCGTCGGCGTACTCCTGCGGCTGGATCTGGATGACACGGGTGGAGCACGGGCTGGGGGAGGAGGAGCCGGGGGACATTCAAAGAGCTGCGATGGGTGCCGGTGCCCCTCTGCCCACGCACGGCTGCCCTGGTGGTCACCGCACCCACTGCTGGGAGTGGGATTTCTCCCTGGAGCGACCCCCCCCCCCACGCCACCCCAGGAAAGGCGCCCAGCTGTGCTCAAGCCCGGGGGCGAGGCCCCAAGCACCCCCCAGAGCCATTGCTTAGCCCTGCCAGCTGCACAGCGCGGGCCTGGCTCTGCCCCGGGCGCCCCCCACCCCTCCCGGAGCACGGCGCGGGTCAGGCTCTGCCCCGGGC